ATTTCACGAAACACGCTAGCCTAGCCTATAAAATCTACTCTTCCAGGCGAGATCAGAGAGTTTACAGTAATTGGGAGACGGTACACATTTCATTCTGTTTTTGTTACTAACTGTTGTTCAGTTTTCTGTAAAATTTCCTTATCAGCCTCTCACAGAAAATTGACACAGATGCATACTTACAGGCAGATTTTTTTCAACTTTCAAACGACATCTCCCAGACACACTCTCCCTTACAAACACAAACACACACACACACACACACACACACACACACACATACACACACACATACACACACACACACACACACACACACACACACACACACACACACACGCAAGGACCCATACAGAATCAAGAGTTCTATACTTTTTGTCATTTTCCACTTATTCTCTACAGACGGACGCGTACGCACTTGGAGCAACGCTGTGGTTTCTTGTCTTCAAACGAAAACCTCGCGATGGAGAGGATCTTCTGCACGCTGTGAAATCCGACAGAACCCTAATGCCGCTCTTGGGCTTCTTCAGGTAACGAGACATTCTTTACTTTGGATCCTAACCCAATGCAGCTTTCTTTACTTTTAGATGAGTGCTGTTGATTCCTTGTAAATGAAAAATAAAATAGTAATATGTTGGTTTTTTAAAGAAAATACATACTTGTAGTCTGTTACGTAGAATATTCAGAAATTTCCATTTACCATAATATGAATACTTGCTTTCACTTGATGTTGCCGATTATTGATCTGAGTATTTTTGCTTACTCCACAGGTTTGTGCTCTACAGGCTTGTACAGAACAACCCACGACTCCGACTTTCAGTCTGCCATCTCCTGGAATTCCTTCGTGAGCGCTTTCAGCAGTTCAGGGTAATCATAGACTCTCTGTAACGAGTGCAAGTGCTGTATTTGCATACTTTTTTTCCTCTTTTCTTTCTTCATTTTAGCACTTTCTAACAAAATATGGTGTTGAAGTTGTTTCTAGTTTTCTTATATTTCACCCATTTCCGTTTACCTAATTCACCTAATAATTGAATTGAATTGCTATTTTGGTTTTTGAAATGTACTACACTACTTTAACTTTTAGTTTACTTACAAATTTGTCCACCCAACGACACATATTTTGCACTCGTGTTTGTCGTAACCAACAGAAAACTCAATGAGGCAGGAAGCAGGTGTCTTGGACACACCAAGGCAAGCTCAGGGCCTGTACATCACCAGCTGAAGTCATCATGTGAGTAATGGGGAGTTGACGAGGACTTTAC